GCCCGCCCGCGGGGACGCGGCGTTCGCGCCCTGCAACGCCAGCGGGGCGCCCGGGGAGCGCAGCGTGCTGGGCACCAGTGCCGCTCCGAGCGCCAGAGCTGGGTGGGAGGAAACGGTGCAAACCGGTGCCGGTGCTTCGGCGGCGAGCGGGAAGGCAGCGCTCAGCAGCGCAGCTCCCCAGGGGTTATCTGGCCCGACGGATGCGTTTGAGAAAAAAGGCAGAGGGATTGGTGAAGGGGATGCGAAGACAAACGGCTACGCCGATGGTCCCTCTGGCTGGACACCTTCTGTGGAAGCAGTTAACTGGGAGACACGGGAACCAGAAACGCTGGCTCCCTACAGACCTGCCTTACGTGGGCTCGAGAAGGAAGTGAGCAGCCTGGGTTCTGCTGCGGTAGATCTTGCTGATAATGCTGAAGAAGGCCTTAATGCTACTGAAAGTAATCAGCTCTCTGTGTTTAAAACAACTCTTCCTACTGTTGGAGATGCTTACTTGCCTGGGAACCTTTCACATCACGGGAGAGATGGTCAAGATTTCAGCTTTGAAGCAGTGAAAAACATCTTTCAGGACAGAAAGTACCAGATTTTCCTTATGGTACTGGGTGTTGTCCTGCTGTGGGAGCTGTTGGCTACTTTTCTCAAATGGACAGTGGATGAGAGTCTCTATGAGTATCTTGACTTCGTTGATGCGACTGACAGGTATGGCAAGCTGTGGATTTGGAGTCACCTGGGTGCATCTGTAGGTGCCTGCAGCATTGCCATATTCGTGGATCAACTGGATTGCTTCCTCAGCGGTAGAATCACCCGCCTCGCCGTCCATTTCTACGGCTATGCGCTCCTGGTAACGCTCTCATTGCTCGTCAGTGTCTTTTTTCCCATCCACATTCCCAAGAAAACCAACCGCGTTAACAAAACCGCCAAAGCCTTGGCCCTCCTGTGGAGCGACGGCCGAGCCATCCTGTGTGCCATCACCGTCTTCCTCACCGGCGCGGCGGGGTCTGCGGTGGAGAACTTTCTCTTCTGGCAGATGCAGGACCGAGGCAGCAGTGAGCTGTACATGGGGCTCTCTGTGTCCGTTGGGCTGCTTGCTGAAATTTTACTTTCTTTCTTCAAAGGGAAATTGCTGAGGACTTTCTCGAGCAGCAGAATTGTCGCAGTCAGTCTAAGCCTCCTGGCGGTACAGCTTCTGTGCTACTCCTTTTTGTGGACTCCGTGGTCGGTTCTCCTTGTCCAGGTTTTATCCGCCTTCAGTAACGGTGCTTTGTGGTGGGTGGTTAACGCCATGGTGGATGACATAACCATTCCAGGCATGGAGAGGTCCCTGCACGCTGTTCTCCACGGCCTCTGCCGTGGTGGAGGAGCGAGCTTGGGCAGTTTTGCAGGGGGATTTGTCGTGAAGTACTTTGGCCTGGCAGTTCTGTACAGGGCGTGCTGTGTGTGCCTGCTGCTGTGGCTCTTCTTGTTCCTAATTGTCCAGTCTAAATTGCCACGGCAGAAAAAAATTAATTATTCTCGTCTCCTGGCTGCCGATTCCAGCGATATGAGTGACTCTGACGAGGAGAACGAGAGGGACTGGCTGGTGAACGCCATGAAGGATGAAAGCTTTAATAGGAATCGGTCACAACAGCGTGGGATCAACTAATCTGTACTTGAATGTAGGGGCTGGAGTGGTAACGTGGTGTCATGCTGATGCCCAGAAATGACCGTTAATTCTAAAGTGCTAAATATATACAGTATATATCTGACAGAACAGATTTTTATTTGAAAAAAAATTATAAATCTTTTTATTTTCTTAATTTATAGCATTTTGTAGTAATTTTTCCTTTTTAACTTAATGATTTTTGCTTCCAAAATGATAACAAGGTATTTCGGGTATATATATATTTGCTGAAATGAATGTAGCTAAGTTTTTAGTCAAAAAGCAAACTTGAATTGAATTCTTGCTTCCCAGGGCTGATGCTGTGGAAACCGTGAGCGAAAGCTGTGACCTGTACTTTGACACAGATGAACGAAAAATACTGTAATGCAAATAACACACTAGGCTTTTCCAAGGTGCTCTCTGTGAACTCCTTTCGCTGAATAAGAGATGTGAATTAAAAAAATGATTCATTTGCTCTGCTTTGATTCGTTAAATCAGGTTTTGCTACAGATTGTCTACAGCCTTCTCATGTTTTGGGGCTTAAGTGTGCTTCTGCATTGGCATCTGTTGGAAAAAACCTGCCACGTCTGCTTACCGCCAGTGCCTGCTGGCTGCCCGAACCGAGCAGGGCAGCCTGGGCACTTCCTTGTCTGTATTTACCAAAGGCAGCACCCAGCGTTCCGGGTGACCAGGAAGCAGCTGCCCTCCTGATGTGAGTAACTTCTGTGGGCTGGGAATTAACGCAGGGGGATATTCGTGGGATACGATTTCAGAAGGAACTTGGCACTGGCTGAGTTGATCTGGTGGAAGCGTGTGATCCTCCCCTGGTCAGTTTGGCCTGAGGGCAGCTCACTTCTCACATTTCCTATTTAGAACTAATTCTGTGTCCTGAACAAGGCCTGCTAAGTCCAGAAGGTTCCTCAAGCTGCCTTGCATGCCGTGCCTTAACCAAAAAAGCACACAGATTTCAACACCTCTTCAGTAGGTAAGATTTGCTTACAGGTGAAAAATTGGTGGTCTGATCTCATTGGAAGGTCTGTGTCAGACCTTGAACGGGGCTGGTGGAGAAGCTTTGAGCCTTGCAGTCCTTTTTACTGCCATCAAAAGCTGTTGTCAGTTTATTAGGTACTTCCTTGGTCAATAAACTACATAATTCCTTTGCAGAGGGATAGATTTTAATAACATCTCCCTGGTGTTTTACAAGTCAGGAGGAGGGCAGCTGCAAAAAGCAGCATATTTAATACACATTGTGCAAGTGGCACTGCAGTCTGTCACCCCACGGTGTTCCGCAAGTCAGGAGGAGGGCAGCTGCAAAAAGCAGAATATTTGTTTAAATGCATATTTAATACACATCGTGCAAGTGGCACTGCAGTCTGTCACCCCACAGCGTTCCAGACTCGGTCAAAGTGGTTGGAGACAAGGAAAAGCAACGCCGTTGAAGGTAATCTCTTTCTCTGTATGCATCGATTCCAGATTATCTGTACATCAGATGCTTTCAGGGCAATTAGCTCTCTGTTTTCCTGGCACAAATCACTATGCCATACAGAATACTCCACTACAATGACTCTATAGATAGAACTGTCTTCGTGCCAAGAATAGCTGGAACATTTTATGAAGATGTTACCTTCTCCCAGGAATTCAAACTCGAGTTGAGAACAATTTTAGTGTCAAGAATTTATCCCAGCCTTATTATCATATAATACCTCAGGAACTCTAATGACTTGTTAATAGAGTATCTGACTTCAGCCTTGAGTAACATAACTGCAAGGTGCACATCACGGAGCCACGTGTGCTTTTGTGGGATGAACGCTGCAGGAACAGCTGGAGTGGTTTAAAATGCAGTTTCTTCTTTAGCTGGAAGTGACTGCCCTTATTTGAAGCCAATTAAATGGGTAATACGTGCTCTTTTTATCTGCTTCAGCACAAAATCAGCTGCTGTAATTCCAGTTTTGAAATGGAAAGTGCTTGTGCAATCTGTCCTGTGATAACGGCTGCCTGGCAGAGCCGCGGTGTGGCTCCCCTGGGCTCTCACCTCCGTGGTCGTTTTGGCCACGGATCTTTGGATGTGCTCAGCCAGTGCTGCTGTGAACAGGGACGATTTAAGGTATGGCCCAAAGCTTAACTTCAGTGTAATAATCTTCCATAATAAGATTTTTTTTTTTAAGTTATTAATCCACAAAACACATTTGGTGCTGATTCAGGGAAGAATCATATTTATATAGTTTCAAATATGTTCTGAATTGCAAACCACTATGGAAGTGAGTGTGGCAGAGGGCTCAATGGCTGAAGAAATTGCACCAATTTAATTAAATCATTTTCCACTGAGGTTTGTACAGTTCCTATGTGTGAGCTCTGCCACATCGGGGACTCAATTTCTGCCTCTCTGATGGTCACAGGTCCCGCAAGCCAAAAGGGTGAGGGAGGAGGCAGACTTAAATTGTTCTGTGTGAGACTTCTTCGCCCTGAGCATGGCTTGATTGTTCTTGCAGAAGTAAGAACATGCCAAGACATTTAATGCTGTTGGGAATAAGATGTAACCGAGAAGAACTAAACTGCCTTTGGGGAAAATAGATTCTCATGTTGTTTTTCCAACCACATCAGCGGTTATTTTTGCATTACTTTGCAACTATTTGCCAAAAAAGTTGGTGTTGAAACTTCTGTTTCCTTAAGTTTTCTCAAACAGAAATTGTAAGGTTAAAAGTGATTATAAAATCACGTAAGATTTTACTGTTTGCCTACTTCACGGTGAACTTTAAGCAAATTTCAGAGGCTTCTATATAGAAATACTTTTTTGCCTCTTGATGTCAGTCCAGGGTCGAAGCTGAGCCGTGTCCTTCTTCTGGGAATACAATTAGATTTAATTGAGCTCGGGAAGCAAACCGTAGTTTGCGTTGAGGAACAAGTTGCGCACAATGACCGTCTTTGTAGCTCTCAGCTTTTACATTGCACATAGCTCCATGTATGTGCACTGGGTGAGAGGTTTCAAAGGGTCCAAGGACAGCAGTTTTAGTAGGTGAGACCGTTCGCCAAAAAATGACAAAGGCCTCTCTGCTTATCGTGAAACGAGTTACAGGCCCTGCAGGTAGTTTCGGTACCGAGCTGATGCAGCTGGACTGGAATCTGAGTAACTCATTGCATCAGGCACCTTATCTTCATAGAATCACAGAGTGGTTGGGGTTGGAAGGGACCTCAGAGATCATCTAGTTCCAACCCCCCTGCCATGGGCAGGGACACCTTCCACTACACCAGGTTGCCCAAAGCCTCATCCAACCTGGCCTGGAACACTTCCAGGGATGGGGCAGCCACAGCTTCTCTGGGCAACCTGTGCCAGTGCCTCACCACCCTCAGTGTAAAAAATTTCTTCCTTAGATCTGATCTAAATCTCCCCTCTTTCAGTTCAAAGCCATTGCCCCGTGTCCTGTAACTACACGCCCTTGTCCAAAGCCCCTCTCCAGCTTTCTTGTAGCCCCTTTAGGTACTGGAAGGCTGCTGGAAGGTCTCCCCGGAGCCTTCTCTTCTCCAGGCTGAACAGCCCCAACTCTCTCAGCCTGTCTCCGTAGCAGAGGTGCTCCAGCCCTCGGATCATCTCGGTGGCCTCCTCTGGACCCACTCCAGTGGTTGGCTTCCTGCGCTGCAAGCGCACATTGCCGGCTCACGTTTTTTAAAACATCATCTCGCTTTTTAAAAATTTGTTCCCAAGTTACAAGGGAACTAAGATTGCAGATTCTGTCTTTCTGGCCGTTGTTTTAGAATGGGATATTGCAAATGTTTCTTTCAGCTCCTCTCTGTGTGCACCTCGCGTCCGTGATTGACTTAAATAGTGTGGCACTTCCAGAATATGAAATTAGGTAAAACTCAGTGGGCACTGATCTCTAAATGTTAATTTTTCTTGGGGATCTTATCAGCATAATAAGATCCTTTCCAGTGTTCTCCAAAGATTTCTATAATTCAGCAGACAGCGTGTTTCTTTGCGGAAAACTGTGGTGAAATCTGCCCAGATGAATTCTCAGAGGGGTTTTTGTCTTTTTGTAATGAGTCGTTTCCCAAAACCGTAGATATGGTCCATTTAAGGTAAGTCCATTTAGCTGTAGTTTCACAAGACGGGGTGAGTGATGTTTTTGAGAGCTGTGGAGTCAGCATGTTCTGAATCTTAAAAGCAAGAATCATCTTTTCTTCTGCATCGGAACGTAATGCTTCTGAGGCACGATCTGCGCTGCCTTAGGTGCTGCTAGTAAAAATATTTCTTGTTTTGTCCATTTTTAAAGTACAGACAATCTGATTTGAACTCTCAGGTGAATTATGATTACAGCATCATACTGAGATTCTTTACGTTTATAATATAGGTCCCATATAGACTTCTTAAAAGTATTAGGCAGCACTTGACCATTACTGGCAGGAGCACTAAGTAGTGCTAATGCAGGGGGGATAAAAAAGAGTCTGTCTTGAAATGTCTTGACACTGCCTGGCGTCCGTACTGCTGTATTTAGCAAGAGGGAGAAAATGTAAAGGATTCTCTTCTAATTTAGACTGTAAAAAAAACCTCCCAGGGAACAGATAATTTTTTTTCAGCACACTTTCTCCCTGGGGCCTGGTTTTGCAGGAATACAAATGACTTTTCTGGCCAAGGGCAATTTTTTACTTTAAATTGAGTATGTTGAGACCATAAAACTGTGAACCCAAATGTAGAGGTGAGTATGAGGCAACTTGAAAATTAGCCTTTCCTTCACCTTTAGTATTTAGAAATCTTGCCTGAAGAACTCAAGGAGCAGAAAACGTAGTTATCTTATCACGACCTCACCAGTACAGCAATCGGGGAGGTTGTTGGTAACACGACTTAATTTTTGAAACTTTGAGAAGCTTTCTACTCAATCAGGTTGGAAGGTCAGAACTATGGAGGTAGTTACAACACGAAAATAGTAGGCTGGCATTAACATGGGTTTTTATTGTTAGTAAAAGACATTTTGAGCCAGGAAACACAATCACATGCTCAAATAATTTTAATA